TTTTGCGATAACGTTACTTGAAATTTTGCTTAAGTGTTAACTTTTTTTGTTAACAATTCCCTCAGTTTTAAAGTTCGAACGGTAAGTGGTACGGATTTTCTGAAACGAAACGAAACGAAACGTCACAGTTCCGATGGTTTTAAATTTAAGAGAATATTTATTACCATTATTTACGGAGGAAGCAACTATAAATAAACATAAAGAAAATACATGCACGTAAATACATAATGAAATATATGCACATCAATGGCATAAATACATATAAGTAAATCGATACATATGTACATATATTTCAGATTACACAAATTTTGAATTTATTTATTTGGTATTTACATAATAACAACTGGTATTTTAAAGCAAATTACTTCAAGATTATTTTGGTTTACAGCCATCCAAGTCATCGTGCCACGTATCTGGAAAACAATAAATATTTTGTTTCAGCAAATTATTATTTACAAACTCAATTATGAAAGTGATCCACGGTATGACATTAATTGCCCTTAAATCATACCGTTACCTTAATTCGCAAAGGCACTAACCAACACTTTCTTCGAAAGTGCGTTTTCACATATTTTGGCAGGTGGCAAGAAACTCCGCTATTTTCGGGATTTGTAATTTGCACTGATGGCAATAATAGAAACTTCTTTTCTTGGCCAGTATTGGTTATATTTTTTTTTTTTTAATAATTAATATTTTTTTTTTATAAATGTGTAGCTCATTATATATATAACACCGCGCGATAGTAAATTTTATACACAAATATCAATATATTCTCGAAACCATGGGCCAAATATAGTAAAATTGCGTTTTTAGTTTTTCACTCTGACGTCAGTAATTCAAAAATGATTTAAAAAATTTAGAGAAATGTGCTTAGAGAAGAAGTATGGGTATAAAATTAATGAGGAAAGCCTGTAGAATTTAAACAGATTCAAGTTGCTGGTGCAGAAGGGCTGGTAAATATTGAAAATGTCATTTTAAAATTTTATCCTTGAAATTTCGCAATATTTGTTTTTGAAAAAATTATATGTTAACTCGATAACATCCTCGAATTTCGTTCTCAGCTTTCGTTGTCAGCTTAAAAATTACCTATTCGTCCTTGTGAATTCAAAAAATGTGTGAAAGCAGCGCAGTTTTTCTCGTGTACGTGTGAAAGCAGAAGAGAAAAATTTGGCAGGCGTGCCTATGAAATGGCCACCCTTGCTTTATGCATTTAAAAAATGGGTGCAAACACTCTGCCTTTTACGAAATTAGTAACCGGTACTAGGAACTCGACGTTTTCGAAATAGGTAACCGGTACAAAAGAGATTTAATTTTTAAAATAACCATAAAAGACGTCGCTCTCCTCGATATAGGTAACCGGTACTAAAAATTACAAATAATAATTAAAAAAAAATATTCGCAATAAATTTTTTGTTTTTCAATTTGATTTGTGCAAAATATTAACGCAAACGGTTTTCTGAAAGACTTCAAAATATTTAATTCGTATGCACTATTTATTTCTGCGGACGATAGGGCATAGGAAATAACTAAGGATCGCATTGACCTCCTTTTTGGCGGACAGACATGCATACAATTTTCATATTTTTTGATAATTTTTCAGTTTTAAATTTTTTGGAATAAACATTCGTCGGAATATTTTTTAAGCCAGTTTTTTTTTTTTGCTAAAAATTACTTGTACATGTTTAACTCGTCAACTTGAACGTAGTATTACGTTAATTTTTGTTTTAATTTTACAAAACCCATCTTTAAACCTTTCTAGTTCTCACAAATCGGCAGTTTATTAGGAAAATCGCACAATTTATAACTATGAACAGCATTTTAGAAATTATCGTAGAAACCGATTCGCACCGACAGAATCGCAGAAGTTTGTAAATACAATAAAAAGTTCGAAGTTTTAATGAAAATTTGCCGAGATAGGTCGATCTTCCACTCAGCGTTCGATATGTACATAAAATATTATGAAATTGTAGTATATATATCATCAATGAAATGACGCACGAAGCTTAAAAATTTAATAAATAACCGAATTGATCACTTTCATAACGATTAAATAACAAACTTTTCATACATTGGGGAGAGTATTGTTCACGAAAACTTCAGCAATATAAGACTTTCCATTGCTTTCGTCAATTAAACAATTATCGTTGTCGTCGCAAGACTCTGGAGTGATAGCAGCATCTGTTTTGACTGCATTGAAGATCCAACGTACCTTATGTTTTAGAAATGCTACATCCTCTTCTGCAAAATAATAAATACCGGTTTATTTTATAGCTTTCGTGGAAGTAGTTTCGCATAAGTAGGAAAATAATATGCACATAAAGTGTTTTATATTGCAATAAATCTGCACTACTGCCGCAAACTCCTGCCGCCCACAAAGTCTTAACTGGAGCATGATTTTGAACTTAATCTCGCAATTAAGAAAACATTTTTTAAAATTAATTAGTTAATAAATTTCATTAAAGCAATTATTTATTGCGTTTTTTTCTTCAAATTAGCAGTACTGCTACAGTATTACTGCAGTTTTTCTTGTACATATGTATATTAAGCGGAAATTTTGCACGTATACATTTTATAGTGAGTGTTCAAAATATTCATATGTACATATGTATGTATGTACATATAGTGCTGAGTATTAATAATTTTTATTGTTAACTCCTTCAAAAACTGACGAAAATCAAAAACATGATCTACATTATTATATCGTCACCTGAAATGCAAAATAACGTATCATCATCGTCACTGAAATACAAAAAAGTCGCAACTAAAAAAAAATTCAAAATTCGCTTTTTGATTGCTGTGATGGATTTCATCATGGGTGCGTTCAGAAATGCATCAAGCCAAAGCATCAGTATCTTTTATTTCTAAACTATAATTAATGGAAATGTTTTATTTACGCAACTTAGTTCCAATTCGGCTTATATCCGTGGTTACGCATATTTGACATTTCTATCAATTATAGTTTAGAAATAAAAGAGACTGATGCTTTGGCTTGATGCAATTCTGAACGCACCCTATTGCGGTTACCTTCGGCGTGAGTAATTTATTTATAGTTATTATTCATGTTTTATTTCTATTACTAATCGAACAAAATATTTCACATCCTTTTCTTTACATATGAAAATTAAACTGAAATTATATATAAAAATTTAGTGAAGATTTCATTAAAAATTGCGCAGAACGACATAAAAAACAAAAAATTCAAATCAAACATGTCCCAGACGAGAAAAAATTAGTAATAATACTTACCGTTATCATCAAAAATCACTTTTACTGTTACCGTCGAACCACGCGACATTGGGCAAGGGATCGTAGAACAGCTGGAAACGCTGACGTATAGTAGATCATAATGAGAACCTAAAAAAGAACAAGTATTTAGTATAAATGTATACATAAGTATGTATATCGTCGATCCACTCAAATTTTACAGGAGGGGGAGAAAAACAGTTTTTCTTTGAAGGCATTGCCTCGATAGGCGGTATTTTCTCCAGCTATTATTTTACAAATCTGCTGGTTCAATAACGATTTTTATGCATAAATCTCAATGCCTGAAGTTCAGGGCCACAAAGTCTAATTTTTGCCACAACGGCGTTTTAGGCGGTTTTTCAACTGGTCGATGGGCCAGATTTAAATTATGCTAGGCCTTAGCGACCGCCAACGACAAGTAGGACGCAGTCGAGGAAGAGTCAGATTTGTCAAAATTCTGCTTTTGGCGACAGTCCAGCCAAAACATTATATACACAGTGAAGCCCTTATGATCCCAGTTAAGCAGCGAGCATAAGATCATGCTCAACAAAAAGATTCTGTTCTAAACTACCAGGTATTAAGCGACATTAATCCGAAGAACATCCAACAGCTTTTTAAATTTTAGCCCCAATAAACCCTCCTTACTTTGAACCGATTTCGCTCCGAACATTGTAGCATGTTGAAATAGTACTCATCATCTGCACGAAGATCTGTAAAAATATGGCGGGCGGAACGGGACCAAAATCCTTTCCCGACACTCCCGATAAAACCGCAACCTCCGCAAATTCACAAAATCTTTTTTAAAAAACGATGTTTGAAATATGCTCTTTTAATGTTTTGAGACGAAAAAGAAAAATAATAATAGGAAGATGCCAGATCTTTCATTATTATTTTTATTATTTAAAATTAATTTGAAAGACATGAACATTTCTGTCAACCTTCGATCAGTTTGCAAACACGTTGAAATCTCTAATTCAAAAATATTTTTAATAGGGTTAGTACCTATTTTGAATCGTATATTTATTTTATTTTTTGTTTAAAAAAAAAGGGAAAATTTTACTATTCCTGGGTACCTAGAGAGTGCTTTCCCTATATACAAAATGTTATCCCTTAGGATAATAGTGTAAAGTTGCCACTTATTTTCGATTCTACATAATTTATCTAAAACATCGCAATATGGATACCAAATGAAAAGTTTTGTTGAGAACTTTGGTCTGAAAATATTTTCCATCTGGATTGACACGCTTCTATGTAATACGTAATTTTATTTTGTTAATTTCAATCAGCATTTTTTTTGTGTATACCCAGTGCATATACGCTGAAGATATGTACCACTCACTCCAGCGTATTTTGGAATATGGCTGCCAAATAAAATTTGGAGTAAGAAATTTACTTAATAGATATCGAAATGCATTTTTTTTCAAAGTACTTTTTTAAAGCTATCCACATCTTGAAAACTTTAAATAGTATATGCACTCCGGACAAAGTTGGGTCAACCTGGTACTGTTTACTAATGTCTCTTAATCGCTACTACCAACAGTGGTAATTTTTTTTTACCGAATAAGGGGCCATTTAATTGCTATGCAAATCTACAAAAAAAAAAAACCTTTTTAAAACTTTGACTTTTTCAATTTGTTTAACAAGTGTCACGTAATGCCAGATTGGGAATACCCGTATATCAAATTTTGTTGACATATATATCTATTTTTGCCTGAGTTATCGTGCACATCGACTTCTCTCTTCATTCTGAGCATTTTGGTACACATTAAATTATTTTACAAGGGATCTCTAATTATCTAATTCAAGAAATATTGGCTTCTAGATTAAAAGAAAAAAGCTTGGCATACTTCGTCTTGTCCTCGCTTACCACCAGACCCATTCGCTTTGCTTCCTTATCCAACTTGGAAAAGGCATAATAGAGTTCGCAGTTTTTGTTACCGATGATGTCGATGTCATCGGCATAAAGCCAGCTGTTGTAGTAAATAGTTCCTGAGTGGTTCAGTTCTGCAGCTCTTATTATCTTATCCAACATCATAATTGAAGTACGTTCTGAACATCGGTAACTAGGTCGCCATTGTTGTACTTACAGGAGTACGCCCTGGTCTTGAAACCTTTCGTAAATCGCCTAACTCTCTGGTAAAAATGTCGGGCATTTTTCCTGTCGGCCAGCATTTCAAGCTCTTCGCACTCACGTATGTTTTTCTTATAGACCGATAAAATTTGTTGGTCTAAGCACAGTTTAGGTTCCTAAGTTAAAAAAAAAAACACAGCTCCTTGGCACTAAAACCACTGTTGACCAGTCTTATTACTATCCCATATTAACGTTTTTAAACGATTATTAGTTAATGCAATTGATATTTCATTGCCAATATCTACATACTTATATCTCAATCGTTATTGATTTTAAATTTTTGAATTGACTAATACTTATGTAGAGGGTCCTATGCATGATTAACGTGGTGGCAGAAGACAATGCAAAAAACTGTCATACTTCGCCTTAACAAGCTGCAAAGATTGGCATGTCCATCCGTCACAGGATCTATAAGAACGTGTCCAACTGCGGCTCTAGAGTCGCTCCTGGGATGGAATCCTCTCCATATATTTATTCAGGAATCAGCAGCCACGAGGGAACTGCAACTTCGACTATCTAACGACGGCTTCTTCGTAAAGAAGCCTCATGCAGGTATTCTTGGGAAGATACCAGCGTTGGATATATGCGGAATCTGATTCCATGCCTAAGGAGGTCTGCTTTGGCAGAAAATTCCAAGTGATAATCCCCGATCGCGAAGATTGGGCAAATGGGCTCTCTGCCCTTGATCGCAGATATGTACACTAGTACACAGATGGATCAAGGATGGCGGACAGAGCGGGTGCAGGCATCTTTGGACCTAGCACCAAACTTACAATTCCTATGGGAAAATGGCCCACGGTGTTTCAGGCTGAAATAGTCGCAATCTTAAACTGCGCAAAATTAAACCTTGAAAAGGGTTTAAAGGGCGCTTTTTTAGTTATCTTTTCAGATAGCCAAGCAGCCATCCGGGCCCTTTCAAACAGGACTATCAAATCTAAGTTGGTTAGAGACTGCTTTAACACGCTACAGTTTTTGGCGGCCAAAAACACGGTAACATTGTGCTAGGTACCAGGCTATTCTGTAATCGAAGGCAACGAGATCGCTGATGAGTTGGCACGTGAAGGATCGCTTACTGCCTTTTCGGGACCCGAACCATTCTGTGGTCTAGTTGGTCCTCTTCGAGAGCCATAATCACTGAGTGGGTACACTCAGAACGCGGTAAGTACTGGGGAGCGGTGGGGGGCCTTAAACAGGCCAGGCTATTCGGCTACCCCTTTAACAGGAACGACATCGTCCTATAAAACAGAATTGACATCAGGTTACTTTCTTGGTATCTGACTGGTCACAACCAATTGCGGTTCCTCTTACACCGAATAGGGGCGGCATTCCGGCTCTGCCTCGAGGCCGATGAAACTTCGGAGCATATTCTCTGTAACTGTCCGGCTTTAGCCAGACAAAGACTGATTTACTTTAAATCTTCGTTGGTCGAAGCCTTTGTTATAAGGAATTCGTCTACCAAGGCCCTTTTAGGACTCATAAGGGAAGCCGAAGGTATCTTGGCCACATTGGGTTAGGGACTCCTTTATAGAGATACAAAAGATCTTTTAGGTCGCGGTGTCTCTGTTCTATTACACCCAGTAAATTAACTTACTAACTAACTAACTATGTAGAGCGTACGGAAATTAATGTTTCCAAATAAAAGTGACGGCAAATTTATGAATGAATTTTGTTAACAAATGAATTATCTTAAAAACTGCATGAGCGGATTCCGGTTTGGCCAGCCTTGGCCTGAATTATGGCCTTTAATCGGTCAACTAAGGCATACCACGCAGCCCACAAGTGGCTCTGCGGTATTTTGGTCTATTAACGGAAAAGCGTTTGTTTGAGATGCTCTATACTCTGGTATTATTTATTTACGCCACCGTCCAAAAATACGTGCAGAGAACATAATCGGCCGTTACGGTGGCCCAAGGTGGCTTTTCTCGGCACAAGAAATAATGTCTTATGTTATTGCAGATTACAATATCAATATTGTACGAGGCACGTAATAAAAGCGGCATTACTGCCGTACTGATGAAAAATTGCAACATTGTTGCAACTGCCCAACTGATAATACTTTGCTAGAAATTCACACAGAACGCGATACTTTAACAATTCGGGCGACACTGCGGTTGTGATTACAACTCGAACAAGCCCATAATTTTTCGGCTTGGTGCAAAAATGAGCTAATGATATTTTTTTAGTTAAATGCCCATTTTAATATAAGAGGGTATAAACCATATTTCGATTAACCGAACAAATTCTTTTTAATTTGTCTTTTCTCAGTCTCCATACGCACTGGCTCATTTTTGCACCATACTGTAAACTAGCGCACCATGCAATGACAATTAAACTCAAGTAGGTATCCATAAATATGTATGTACATGTAAAGATTTTTCAATAAGCAAACAGGTAAGGAAGTACGTCAATAGTGCAGAGGAACAAGCGGCAGCTTATCACCACCATAAACATATTTCGAATTAGAATATGTACATACATATGTACATATGTGCGAGTAATAGTAGTTAAATTTATGGACAGCTTTGATTGAATATTGCTTTAACCGTTTCAGTTAAATAAAATCGTAATCTGTTTAAAATCATAACCTACATCCTTACAATGTGTGTGCAAATTGATTATATATGAATGAATAAAACATATACGTACGTATATAATCTCTGCAGAAATTTTTTTGATACATTTCTAGCTGAGAAATGGCATGTACCCTGCAGTAGGGATGTACAAATAAGATCGCTGTTTCTAAAAATCGGTTTATTAAATTTGGTTAATGATTTTTTGTTTTTTTTTTTAATTTAGAGTTAATCGTTTTTTTTTTCTTTTAAACCGAAAACCGAGAAATCGGTTTTTGCATTCCCCAGGAATGGATAATTATTTTGAATTTTTTTTTTGTAAATCTTCGAGATAAGAATAAAATTTATAAATATATTATATAAATAAAAATATTGTACATTTTTACACTCCATTTGAAGTTAATAATATA